CCTGAAACCTTCTGCGTCCTTGTTGGTAGTTTCTTATTACTTACCCCTCACTACTAGCTACTAAAGATTCCTACGGCCTACCCCCCGGGCAAAAACAACATGGTTTGATGGAGGGTAACAAGAAACTACCAGTAGCAAGTGCATTGCTACTAGTAACAAGGGCCTTACACCTGGTAACAAGAAGCTACTAGTTTGATGGTTCAATTTGGTGCAGGAGACCGGTGCCATGGACCTGGACATAAGCCCCTGGAGTGATGGCAGTAGCTTTGCATCAGCGGTGAAGGGAAAGGCCCGAGATCTCAGCAGTAGCTATTTGCTACTAGTAGAAATGAAATGACTTGTTACTAGATAGTAGACATGCACTTACTACTAGTAGCGATGCACTTGTTACTAGTAGGGAGGAATACGTATCTTTGCGCTGTACCATTTCTCACGAACTGTTTGTCGGGCTTACAAACTATTTTTGTTTACCTAGTTTCCTTATTCATGTGGTTGACTCAAAGGACCATAAGCTTCCCATTGCACTGGTGAGCACGTTCCTTTATATTTCGAGTCAAATAGGCTTGTCGAGGTTTGTAGTGGTAGGGACTTTAGTCCTGTATGAATGTGGTTTGTGCTGGCGCAAGGTCCGAACGATTGAAATGCGTTCTCCAGTGCCCCCAGCACCTATGTGCCCAAAGGAGCGTTTTGTTGTCATTGCTCAGCTGCAGGGTAATTACGTCTTGGGCAGTTCACTTGAGGACTTGTCGGGCTGCTTTGCTCACTCTTGAGTCTTTAGTGCGATGAGGAGACAAGAGTGCAGAGTACATGGCACATTGTTGTCCTGCCAGACCAGGCAAGGCTGCCAAACCCCTTAATGGATCAGTTTGCAATTGTTCAATCCTTGATCCTCACACCTGTCTGCCTGCCCACCAGTCGTTCAGCACCTAATCAGGTTCTACTTGAAAGTGTGACAATGTCGCTAGATGTTCCTTGTGGTACTTTGGCTCAGGCACAGAGTTGTGAGCACTGCGATCATAGCTCTATTTTGTTTCTTTTGCATGATGCTCCCACTGCTGGACCATCATATCATAAGCCAAGGCACCATGTTCAACGTCATTTCCTGCGACAGCTTCACTATCAAGGATGGAAAACTCAAGATGTCAAGGACTGTGGTACCGCGGGCTCCTCCTGTTGGCTGTATCCCAAAGTCACGTTGGGCTATTGGAATAAGTCGGAGTGTCAGACAGTTTCCATTGGTGCTTCTTCAACTCACAATCCCTCCAAACTTGCATGTACTGTCATGGTGCTGGCAGTTGGCACTGCTGGTGCGAGCCACTTAACTTGTGAGCCCAGACAGAGCTGAGAGCGCCCAGAACCCACTTCGCGTCTAACCGCACGACAGCTTCTGCCCTGCCAAGCTTCTCCCCCACATACTTTGCTCTGCCAAGGGCTGCACGAAATACGGCCACGGCCATCTGGCACCCGCTTTACCGGACTGTCTTGCCCCACTTCTCACTTCTCACTTACGCACTTATATCAGCAGGCACGCTCACAAATGCCCATACTCTCTCTCTCTCTCTCTTTTTGGAGACTCCCTTTGATCAACAACTGAACAACGGCAACGGCAGTATCAACTGTTGCTACTACTATTGCTACTGCTATTGCTACTCCTTCTACCACTGCTACTACTGATGCAAGAGCTCTCTCACACATAGGAGATTCAACTGATCCAACAGGTTTGCAGCTTTGCAGTTGTTTTGGGTGTAGTGAGGAAACCTATACCTTTGCCTGAAGACAACAAATAAGCCAAACTAACCTGTGCTGTTTCCCGTTGATCTTTGACCCAACCATGACCAGGGGATGCGTAGGCAAGATTTCAGACGTTGTTGCGTAGGCCAATCATCACAGGACCTGTGGCGTGGAGTGGTTGCAGTCGTCATGGCTGAAGAGCAATTTGTCGGCATCTACAAATTTTTGACCTTGGACTTCTGGCACAAGGACATGCAGGCTCTGGCCATCACAGGTGTTTTGCTTTGCTGTTGCTGTTCTTCTTGCTGCAGTTGCTCCTGTTGTCAATGCAATTCCAGTTGCATTTGTTGTCCTATTTACTTCGATGTTGTTTTCCTTGATTGTGTTGTTGCTGTTGTCGTGGTGACGGTAGCGGTTGTTGTCTTGGTCAGTGGTGGTCGTGGTAGGCGGAGGCTTGGCGGAGCTTTTTGTGGTTGCGGTAACTGTAGCTGTATCTGTAGCCTTGCGCTTACGATTGCGCTGTGGTAGGGGTGCGGGTGTTGGTGCAGTGGCATCGGATGACCTGGGGACGTTGCGCGTTCGCGCATTAGGCTGTCACCAAGGGTCCACCCCACCTTACCCTTGCGTGATCAGGGTTCCTTGTGGGGTGACGACGTAGGTGTGAGGTGCTTGTTTCAACCTACTATATACTTTTTGGCGGTTCAACTCGCCACATCGTTTGTTTTGATCAGTGGTCCTGGTTGCAATTATCTGTGCAAGTGAGGCATGGTGGAGCAAAATGTGCCTCCGCAACTGAAAGCAATTGCTGAGCGAATGGTGGGAGTGGTGACGCGTTGGTGGGAGAAGGCGTTACCAGAGCTAACATGAGCTAACGGGGGTTCCTTTTGATTCGCTCGGCGAGCCCTCATTGTCCTCGGAGGCCAGATCCAAGCAACAGGATGCGACGCCTTCCTGAACTGGAGCCAAGTGACTGCAACCTTTCGCAGAAGCAATATGCTTCCACTCGGATACAGCTGCTTCCACCAGGTCTCATGGAGATCATGAACCAGCCATGTAGCATTTGTAATTACATTGTAATCAAGTGCTTCGTGGCTGGTTCTAGGACTCCACCTAGAGCTCTTCATCCAATTGATTGAACATAGCAGCAGAAAAAGACCAAACAATGCTGACATACAAGCTCCACGATGTGCCGATGTCTACTGCAAGGAAGAAGTCCCAGACAAACTTCTTAAATGACACGAAATCATGGAACATTCCCATATGTCATTAATGTTTGCCTGGAGGTATTCCTGATATGCCTGCAGGATGCCACTACACCTGCGGGCCATGCCACTACTCTGATTTGCATAGCTTCAACTGCATGGAGACACACCCTTGAAGAAGGGCACTGTCACCACTTAGCCAATTCCATGTTCAAACAGTGTTCTCGATTGGTCGGTCAATCTTCTGAAGCTTCTGAAAGCTTGGAAGAGTCGACCACTAGAGATCACCTTGCCAATTCAGTAGGCTGAGATGGGTTGGCTATCATGCCAACCAGCTCGTGCCTGAATGCGCAAGGAGGCTTCACGAAATGACAAGACACATTATACAATCATTCTGTTCCAACAAAAGGCAAGGCTGCTGGAGTTTGTGTTCCCTTTTGTGAACAGCCTGGAGCCTCATTTGTTTTTGTCAGCCATATTTTATCAGAAACAAAGGGAGGGTATTTTTTCTAGCATATTTTTTCTTAATCTGTTTTAAACGGATTTTGCTCGTATTTATTTACAGCCTTCGGCATGCCGCCGGCCACCAGCTCGAGCCCGCATTGGCAGGCAGCTTAATGATACAATACCCTGCTCAATCATACTTGTTGGTGCATTGGAGGTGCACATTTGGCTGGGTGAGTTTGTTGATGTTTATTTCAAGGTAGTTTGACCATGAAATGGAACGAATCCGAATCCAGCGATCCGAACCGGCATGTCTCAGTCGAATCACCTAAGAGGAACCAAGTGAAACCAACACAAGCAATGCGAACCAAGACTATCCACAAAACATGACCTTGAAAACGACTCTTCTTCCAAACGACTTGGCCGTGTGCATGTTTTCCTTTTCAGATCTTTTTTTCGACCGTCTCGAGGGATTGCGACACGCACCAGATATTCTTTTTCACACACAGAAGGCTTCAAAGCGACCGAAGAATTTCTAGATCTGGTATGATTTGTTGTTTTTTCTCCAAACCGTTTGAAATGAAAGACCCAGAATGACATCGAACAACAAGACCCTGCTCAATCAGACTTGTGGGTGCATTGGAGTTGCACATTTTGCTGGGAGAGTTTGTTGCTGTTGATTTCAAGCGAAGTCGTTTTACAATGAAATGGAACGAATCCGAATCAGAGGTTGTCTATTCTGATCCAGCGATCGACATGTCTCAGTCCAATGGTTGTCTAGTCTGATCCAGCGACCTACTACCTACTACCTACTACCTACTACGTTCCACCTACTACCTACTACCTACTACCTACTACTACTGCTGCTACTACTGGGGGGGGGGGGGGGGGGGGGGCGTCAGGCTGTCGAAAAATCCGCGCGGAGAGACAAACCGTAGATTGAAGCCAACACAAGCAATACTAACCAAAACAATCCACAAAACACGCCGGCAGGCCGGCGGATTGTTTGGTTTTTGGCTCTAGGCTTTTTGCTTTTGGCAATTCGTTCCGTGGCCTCTTGGCTTCGTGGTTTCTTGGCTTTCGGCTCTCTGGTGCAGTGGCCAGTTTCCTAGACCCTGCACTGTTGCATGTGGTCGGATTATGCAATTATGCTGGTGGTGGGTAGCCAAGGCAGGAAGGAGAGAGAGGGAGGGAGGGAAGGAGCAAATCCAACTTGCAGCTTGGGTCTCAAGGGCAAACTTTAGAGCAGGAAGAAGCAATTGCAATTTAGCATGCCTTTTGTGCCACTCAGGGGTAAAATTTGGAATTGGGAGGTCAGGCGTTGGCGGCATTGGAGGAAAACATTTAGAGTTCTTTCGCAGTTTGTGTGTTCTTTGGGGGGGGGCGCTGCGCCCTCTCCCCCCAACCCCCCAGCGCCTGACTTTTAAGGGCCACACCCTTGCACTGCATTTTCTTTGGAATCCTTGCTGAGGAACAACAGCAGCAAAAAGAACAAAACATCCTAAGCTAAGTCCCGAGACCCACACAAAGCAAGTGGGGACACAGCTCGTTGGGTGATGACTGCAGAGCGCTTGCATGCGTCGACGGACGAGCCCCCCAGCTTTGCCATCAACATGTGCCAAGGTTCCACTCAGTGACTCAGTGCAGGCTGGACCCCGGGGACCCTCACTGACTCAATGCAGATGTTTGAAGTGTCGCTGGTTTTGTCAAATTGGGATCGCCTACAGGCTCCTAAGGCGCTGCCTTGTGGGGGTATCTTAGAGACGAAGGCCGGCGGCCAGGATGATTGGGGGACATGAATTAAGATTCTGAGGTGCAGGGGTGGGCGAGCCAACAACGAAGACACCAACAAAAGTCTTTCAGTATGACGGTTGTTGTTGTAGAACATTCAGCAGCCAGGTCTCCTCAAGTGGAGAGCAAGAGGCCGCATGCTTGATACTGGACTGATCAACTTTCTCCTTCATAGGTTGCACAGCATACATACCAAAACATGACACACGCACTCGCAAACAATCTGTTTTAATTTGTTTCCTGTGACCCACTTTCGGGTGTTCGAATGCATTGTTTTTTAGGTGGAGATCCGCTTTGACCAGGTGGCCTTGCAGAGCCACTGGGTGAGCAGCAAGTTACTTGTTTCTCTAGACCTTTCTGGTTTTCCTCCCCTTTGTTTTTCTTTGTGGCACCGTGCTTTGGCATCGCATGGCAGACTCCTACCCACTGTGGTTGTAACATTTTCAGCTCGAGTGTGACTCTTCACACAGCCATAATGTCTACCGGGTCCACCGGTCCTAGAAAGCGACTGCGGCTTGTACAGCGTTCTCGTGAAGAGGTCCGAATTGCTTCGGTGGGTGGGTTGGGTGAAGGCAATGCTTCATGGCTTGAAGCCTTTTTGTATCTTTCTATATTTGATATTGAAAAGGGAAAGGACACACTTTTTGTTTTCGACAAGAGATTGACAACTGCTTTTTGCTCTTCCTTGTTGGTCCTCTTTAAGCAGATCATTTTGCTCTTGAGTCGATGTTGTACCATGGTAGGCGGAAAGGTCTATACAGTTCATGCGCTTCGCTGCGCTTCGCTGCGCTTCGCTCTCTCCAGCCAGGTCCTGCGCCGCCGTGAAAGTGAACCTTCTGAAGCTTGGCCTTTCCTTTTAGTTGATGCATTATAGACGGCGTTCATTTGAATAGCTTTTGTGATAACTTGTGTGTTGGTTAGACATTTCATTTGTTTGTAAAACCGAGCACAAGAGGAGCACCCAGTTGGGAAAGACTGTCCATTAATATGGAAAGCACTGCCCGCAAAGCGGCCCCCACCAAGATGACGACGTCTTGAATGGCCCATTGCTAGAAGAGGCACCCAGTCAGTACCACTGAAGTGTATTCGACACCAGAGACGGTAGTCGATTGTGCCGTCTCATTGCCAGCAGAGGTGTCACTCAACGATCAAATGGCATATGATATATATCCTGCCCCACCCATTGTGCCTCGCATGTTGGAGTGTTGGAATTGTAATGGTTGCATTTTACCACCTTGTTTTTGCTTTTCAAGCTTTTCCTCGGCACAAAGCTTGCATTGGGACCTGAATTCTTCAATCGAAGCTTCCATCCTTGAACATCCTTGAACTGTCTGGACGCTTGGTTTCCTTTCCAGTTATCCACAAGTGAGGACAAACATCATCGCCAACCAACAGCCTTGGGAGCTTCCGAATTTGGAGCGCCGATCTAGGACTACTATAGAAGCTAATATATATGTCGAAACCACGAACCGTCAGGTCCTAGTGGGAAACCTATCCCAAACAGTCGGCCGTCTCTTGTTTCTACGCTCGCCTGAGCCGGTGAGATTGCCTACGCACACCAAACGGTCGTCATCTGGTGAAATGGATTCGTGACACTGCTTTCTAACTCCTAATAATCTCCAACTTTAAATCATCCTCAAATAACCAGCTTTCCGAGCTGATCTGTCACCTCTTCGTCTCAAATCACCAGGACTTATCTCCAGCATTGCTGAATCACTTCTTCTTTTCCCGTGGCTCGCTCGAACCTGGATAGCGGCTCGAAGAAGATGTTGACTCTCCATATCCCACTGCCTTCAAATAATTTGCCAGGTCCTCAAAGCGTCCACCTCGATTCGGTCCATGGGACAAAATCCAGCGAAGATAGCCAGCATGTTTCGGCAACTCACTGTACGTGAGCTTCTCTGAGGCCACCTTTGGGAGTCCACAAATCGTCGTGCCCCAATCTTGTCCATCTGAAACTCCTGGAGGGAGTGGCACCGCCATTCCGGCGTTGTGCGCCATCGGAGCCAACGGCAGTTGGTCGCCAGCTCTATGGGGATCACCCTCTCGCCCGCAATGGATTTTCCGGCGGACTCCTCATAGGTGATTGGCTCCCAATCCTCTGCTTCGGCCTGAGCATGGTCGCGATCACGAAGTCTCTTCGATGAATCGTTCATTGACCCATGCTTACCCACCTTGGTGTTCACACCAAAATGATCGGCCCTGGCCAGGACTTCCCTGAGTCACTGGTGTTCCACGAGCAGCCATCGTGCTTGCACTCGAAGCAAGGGCTGGGTGATTTCTGCTGAAGTCGAATCTGAAAAAGGGGCTGCAGATAAAACATGGAATCAACCACCCGCAGCTTCTGTTGAATCTGACACTGGTGTGCGCACTCTCATGACAGGAATTGCTTCACAAGTTCCTGTGTTCACAAGCTTCGAACAACAACCAAAAACCAAGAGCTCACAGCTGTGCGAAAAGCTCTCCAAGACTCATCATCGAATCAACAAAAAGGGCATTCTTAGCTTGCATGAGTGCATCAAAAAGTAGGCACATGAAAATTTGGCTCGGTTATCTATTGCACATCACTCAAACCAATTACGACCGGCTTCCCTCCTAAGACAGCAAAAACCCTCTCACTTAATAACCCTCACTTTATTAAATGATCACGAACGGCACTGTCAAGGAAACCTCTATTCGGCCTGGACCTTTGGTTTCTGCTTCTCTGACCTCTGCATGGCAATGCGTTTCCTCCGATCCTTTTCCTCACGTCGTCGATCCATGACGAGCTGTTCATCCGCTAATTGGTAGCGGGCATTTCGGAGAACAGAACGGAGTAAATCGATCGGTTCAGCCCGATCCTCGGTCAAAGCATCTGCGGTCATGTATGTCGTCGGACACCACCGTGGCTCTAACTTCGTTCTCTGGATGGATTGTCTAATTGTTGCGATGTCTATTGCAGTCCTCTTATCGTCCAAGGCACTGTTACCTAGCGATGTGAGGTGGTCATACAAAGACCTGCAATCTGTCATACCTATTGGGGACCTACGCAACAGGACTTCCTCTGCTTCTTCCAACATGAAAGGTCCGTCGAGGCATTCAGCCATCATCAGCAGCATCCATTCGCAGACCCCTGATGCTGTGGAGAAAGCTTGTGCCTCTCCCGACATGGTTGAGGCCACAACTCGGGGCAAACGGTATGATTTCCAAGCAAAACAATGAACCGGCACGTCCAACCCTTTGCGCATTTTGTCTGACGTGAAGGCAACCAACCAACCACCTTGAGTTTTCATTTCAGTGCTGTTGGCAAACGCTGCGTCTGACCAAAAACACAGGCTCAACTCCTCTAGAGGAATGAACGGGACATGGATCTCGAGGTCTGATTGTTGGCGGGCTCTACGTACTGCTTGGTTTGCTTGCAACAAATCTCCTACTGTAGGATTCGGGAAACACTGCTGGCTGATGATTGGATGTTTGTACTGCTAAATCAGGTCTGGACTGTGTGCTGATCCAACTCCAAGCACCATTCACTGCTCGCAGGGCTGAAATCTCTTGGGGACTCGCCGCTAACCATGGCTTTTTCACCCTCTCTTTTGCAATCTTGATGGGTGAGATGTGTTCAGCATACTCTTTCTGCTGGAATTTGATTTCCATGGTGTCCAAATCTTGGTGGTAAATTGTCCCCAGAAACTTGCCAGTTCCGGATCGCCATTTGCGAAATGGAAAGCGAGACTTAAGATGCTCAACAGCCTTGACATAGGTGTCTCCTGCTCCTCCAGTGATGGTATCGTCCACGTGTGCACCAAGAATGCCTTCCAACTGGTTCTGAGAATTGTAACACAAATACAGACAGTTGTCAAATTTGCTTCTAACAAAACCTGCTTCGAGGGCCACTCTATTGAATTCACAGTACCATTCATGGGGAGCATCGTTGGCACCGTAAATGTTGCCCAACACCTGCACCAATGAACCCGGTTCTACTCCAGGGACTCCACCTGGTGGTAGTTCTGCGAACACTGGGTTTTCTAAGGCCTTTTGCCGGACGTTTGCCTCTAGGAAGGCTCCTTTTATGTCGCCTAAATGCATCTTCCAGCGATTGCTGACGATCATCTGGAGTATCAGGCTTCTTCCGAATTGAGACAATGTCGGTGAATGACATTTTCCAGCCAACACCTTGGTGAACAAATCGGGATCATGGTGGCCCCTCAAACACCAACGGCTCTTGATTTTGGAATCACCATCTTCCTGCTTTTCAATGATGACAAATCGACTGGTCATGATGCGATCAGGGCGACATGACCGAATCCGCCGAGCTTGCTGAGGTGGAATGACCTGAAGAGCCTTCTTTTCATCTCGCAGAGTGGTCCACTCAACAATCTTAGATGCATCAATCTTCTCTTGAAGTTGTGGCGGGTTACTCGAATGGTGCAACTTTTTCTGAAGTTTCTTCTGCAAAAAGCTGGCGATCAGGATCTCAACACTTTCTGCTGGACCATTCTCGGATGCTAGCTCGGCTAACGGACAGGAGTGTTCATCTTCTGTCTTCTGACTCTTGCTTGACATGGCACTGGCATGATCAGGAGAGTGACTGCGTTTTGTACCTTGACTTTCGGAAATTATCTCCTGCAGATCCTCCATCTGAGTTTCAATTGGTCGAATCAGGAAAGTCGGGGGATTCTTGCTCTGTCGAACACGAACTGGACCACGAACTGGACCATAACCGGACGTCTGCCAGTATGGCTCGGCAACAGGTCTAGCGTATGGTTCTCCCGTGGTGGTTTGATGTGTTTCTCCTGTGTTTTCCCCGGAGGTCGTTTCGTTTCCTATCAACGGATTTGCACTCTCCGTCGACCCTGCCATCGAGGAGCTCAGAGGTTCGGTTCTCCCGCCTTCTGGAACAGATCTTCTGGTCCGAATGCGGAACTGACTCTCCCCTTTCCACAGTTCTTCTCCCAACAATGCATTCTTTGGTGTCTGATCTGATGGTTTTCCGCCAATTGTCCAACCAGATTCCTTCGAGTGCTGGGTCTGTCTCTGAAGGCCAAAACAAGGTATTTCGGGGCTGCCTGTGAACGCGGCACATGTACTCACCCTTTTTCAACCAAAAATCTTCCGTTTCTGGAACAGGGGCTCTTGCTTGTTCAGGAATGGGTGTGTTCGTGAGGTCGGTAAACTGAGAACCTAACTGCTTGCGCTCTGTGTCCTGGAGCAGGGATGACAGTCCTAGCATTTCACGACCATCGGCTTGAGCAAGCATTCTCTCATCGCCGGCGTGTCTCAAGTGCTCTGGTGCCACTTTGATCATGAAATTCCTGCCTATCTTTCACAATTGCTAC